GCCCAGGTGGCCCCCAGGCAGGGAGGAGAGGGACAGCCTGGCGCAGACCTGGGGACGGGGTGCTGTCCTGAGCCGTCGGTCTGCCTCACTTCCTGTCCTTGGCCCTAAATCTGCTCCCCGCTCAGGGGCTCTGATTTGGTGGTTTGTGGGGAGTGGGGGTCCAGACTGGAATCTGACACCCTTGATCACTCATGAATGGACAGCTCCCCCCTCCCCCCCAGGGGCCCCTGCCTGACCCTCCGAGGGCCTTGTCCAGTGTGTGCCAGGTTGTCTGGTGGTGGTCTTACTCCTAGACGGGGTCTCTGACTGCAGGTGCAACTCACCTCTCCAGGGGGCTCCTGCATGGGGGGCAGGCAGGGGTGGACACTGAACTCTAGGAATGAATGTGTATGCCTCCATAAGGGGCCTCAGCCTGGGCAGGACAGGACAAGCCCCAGGCAGCCTGGGATATGGATCCCCCCCAGTCGGCCGTAGCCCCAGCCAGAGGTGACGGGCAGGAATATGGCTGCCAGAGAGCGATGGCCCGTCCATCACCCCTGCAGGGTAGGAGCAAGCCCGGCCCAGCTGCGCCCCACACGCCTTCCAGCCCTCCACCCTCTTCTCTGCCTCTGAATGAGGGCCACAGCAGCAAGGGGTCCCTGCAGATGCCCCAGCCGGCCTGTCTCAGGCCTCCTCGCCCATCAGGATGCCCTTCGGCCAGCGGGTAGCCCCTCTGAGCCCCCCTTGGCCGTGGACAACCAGGCACTGCCATGGCCGCCTGCTGCAGTGCCCACGATCACAACCTGCCTGCCAGATGCTGGACAGGTGGACGGCCGGGTCAGCCACTGGCTCTCATCTCTTTGTTAAGTAGCCCTTTAGCAGAGGCCGCCCATGTGAGGTGTGCATTTTCTGAGCAGCGCATCAGCCTGGAGCAGTGGGAAAGAACAGCTGGAGGTCACAAATTGCTTGAGATGCACACATATGCACGCACACTCAGAGGTGTGCGCACATACACACTCAGAGGTGTGCGCACGCACACTCAGATGTGTGCGCACATCTGCATGCACACAGGTACATGCACATGAACACACTCAGCATACACACTCAGATACATGTATACGCCTACACATGCACACACGCACATGTATTTACATGCACACCATATGTACACACTGAGATACATGCGCTAGTACTACATGCACACCCAGACATGTACGAGTACTGCATGCACACACGTACATGCAGACACATGCACATGTACTTA